TATTAAATCCAGCACTCTTCTTCATAGAAACAACAGTCTTCTTGATGACAACAATTTTAATATCAACAACCATCTTCTCAATAAAAACAAGTATCTTCTTAGTAAAACAACTATCTTCATAAAAATATCTTCTTAATAAAAACAACTATCTTCTAAATAAAACAACTATCTTCTTAGTAAAAGCTATCTTCTTAAAAAGAAACCTTATCTTCTTAAAAAACTATCATCTTCATAAAAAACTATCTTCTTAAATAAAAATCTATCTTCTTTAAAAGAAAACTTATCTTCTAAAAAAAGCTATTGTCTTATCTAAAAACTATCTTCTTATAAAAAATCTATCTTCTTAAACAATCTTCTCTATACAAACTACAATCTTCTTAAAAAGTGAACAATAGAAAACGTATTTACAGAAAAAAGTGAATAACATATGTACAGGTGGCCGATGCCATGGCCAGTGTGTCCGTCAGTCCTGGAAGAAAAGCAAGGGCACGGTCAGTGCAGTCGGGCCCTGCTGGGTGTTCCCTGTGCCCCCAGCCTGGCCCACCCAGCAGGTGACCCTGAGGCAGGGCATGACCAGGATGTGCCTGTCTGGTTGATGGGGTGGGGTGTCCTTATCCCAGGATCATGGCCTCCTCCTTCTCGCCTTCCTCTTCCACGTCCATCTCTTCTTCCTCTTGCGTGTCCACCTCCATCTCCTCTACATCGCCTTTTAGTTCTCTCGCCGTGTCCACTTCCGTTGGCTCTTCGCTGTCTCTCTCAGCCTGCAGCAGGGAGAACAACCTCACAGAGGGGGCCTGTCCCACCCCAGCCCCACTGAGCTCCAGCCCACCTGGCCCGTCAGTTGGTGCCCTCCTCCATGGACTGGCACTGGACATTCACTGGGACAAGGCTGCACATCCTGCTGGCATGGATCACAACACCCAGACTGCAGGCAGAGTCAGCACTGACGGATGTTCAAGGGAGCAGGTGGGGATGAGCCCAGAGGGAGCAGGGGGAAGGGCACATTCTAAGGGCCCATGTGTCATGGTTTGAGAGCCCCAAAAATCCAATTTCCTTGTCCAAGCCCCCTCCCACATCTCAACCCAGTGTGAGATGATTTTTCCAGACACCACACGGGACTCAAAATGGGCGAAAGGGAATATATTACAATGACTATACAAATAAATACTGCAATACATTATATACAATCTCACCTACTTCTACCATGACAGAATAGTTTTTACAATGGATCCAATCTCTTCTCCCCTCCAAATAAAAGCCCAGGAGGGAAGAAGAAAGATCTTTTCTACTTTCAGAGCAGCAGTCTCTAAGGCAGCAGGCTCTCTTCCTCTCATGCAGCATCTGGATCTGGACCTCTGCCAGTACACGTGAGGGGTATCCAAGCCCCTCGGCCCGTCGTCCTCAAGCGAGGGTCTTCTCTTCCGTGGGCTGCATAGCAGGGACAAAACTCGCTTCACCACGGTCATATCATGGGGCGTAAGACCCCCATGAAGGTCCCTTCCTCAGGGGATTCAGCCCGAGTCAGAACATCTTTCAGTTGAAAGCCTTTGCCTCAAGAGTTCTACCAGAGCTCCTGTGCTCTGTCTCAGGCTGCCAGCTGGGCAGCAGCGGCGAGGGGGGACCCAAGGTCACCCCCTCTGCATTCCTTTAATCGTCCCGGTCCAGCTTTCCAGGACGCCTGAGCTGTTCAGCTCTTTCTCTCCAGTGCTGCATGTTGCATTTTAGGACTTCCATCCAGTAGGAGTCCATCACTCCAACTTAAGAGGGGTCTCAAAAGGGTTTTGGGGGGTCTGGTTTTCAGTTCTTACCCCCAAAACTCTGTGTAGAGTTTAGTCCTGCTCTCTCTCTCTCTTCATTAGACATCTCTGTGTCTTCTTGCCTGGTTGCAAGACACTCTGCTGCTTTCTTATCTCTCCTGGCTCTCTGCCACCGTTTCTGGACACTGCTCCTGCTGTTGCTCTGTCTCTGCTCACTCACGGTGGAGAAAACTTCTAGCTTTCTAGCTACAGATACTTGGTCTAGTTTAACACTGTTCTAAGTCTCTGTAGCCCCCCTTGCCAGGGCTGGGGGGGCCCAGAGGCCCCAAGGGGCTCCGAGCCCCTTCCTCGTGGCCTCGGAACATGGTCACCTCTCTCAACAACACCTTCAACAACAACCTTCTCTTCCGTTCCGCTTGTGATATGTTTATATTTTGCAGAAGCACTCATTGGGTAAAACCTCAAAACTTCAAGGGTCACCACCCCCCGGGGTTTTACCATTTTATAACTTCAGGGGGGAAAACTGTTTCCCCCCACCACACCATGGAACAACAACAATTTTTGAAATGTATTTACAGAAGGACAATAAAACAACAACACATAAGACACGGATCCAGAATTTATTGACATTTTCAGAATTTTCTTATTAAAACCAGCATTCTTCTTTTTAGAAACAACAGTCTTCTTGATGACAACAGTCTTATTATCAACAACCATCTTCTTAATAAAAACAAGTATCTTCTTAATAAAACAACTATCTTCTTCATAAAAATATCTTCTTAATAAAAACAACTATCTTCTAAATAAAACAACTATCTTCTTAGAACAAAACTATCTTCTTATAAAGGAAACTTATCTTCTTAAAAAAACTATTTTCTTAATAAAAAACTTATCTTCTTAAATTATTTTCTTTATAAAACCAACAAACTTCTTAAAAATTCAATAATATAAAACGTATTTACAGAACAACATGTAAAACATATGTACAAGTGGCCGATTCCGTGGCCGGCACGTCCGTCAGTCCTGCAAGAAAAGCCAGGGCACGGTCAGTGCAGTCGGGCCCTGCTGGCCGTTCCCTGTGCCCCCAGCCTGGCCCACGCTGGGCCCAGCGGGACTCTGGCGCCAGGCCTGAGCCCGGCTGGGGATGGGAGCCGGGCCCCAGGCGCTGGCACGGGGCTTGTGTGGCCCAAAGCAGGCGCAGGGCAGGCCGGGGCTGGGGGTTGTGCCGCCACAATCCAGGGCACGGGGCACCGTGTCCCTGAGCGGGGCCCCCCAGCCCAGCCCCAGCCTGGCGGCAGGTGACCCGCTGTCCCCGGGGCAGGGCATGGCACGGCCAGGACGGGCCTCACCTGCTGATGATGGGGGACTCTCCTCATCCCAGCACCATGGCCTCCTCCTTTTCGCCTTCCTCTTCCACATCCATCTCTTCTTCCTCTTTCGTGTCCACCTCCATCTCCTCCACATACTCTTCCAGGTCCACTTCCATACTCTCTTCACGATCGCCATCCATGTCCACATCCATGGCTTCCTCAGTGTCTCTGACACCCTGCAGCAGGGAGCACAACCTCAGAGAGGGGTCTCTGTCCCAAACCATCCCCACAGGGGATGCCGTCCCAGGTAGTCATGGGGTGCCCACCTCCATGGAATGGCACTGTACCTTCACTGGGACAAAACTGCACATCCTGCAGGATCAATGCTGAGATCCAGTCAGCAGGGAGAGTTCTGGACTGACGGACTATCAGGGAGCTGGTAAGGATAGGGAGCTGGGAGCAGGAGGAAAGGTGGTCTTGGAGCAGGGTGAAGGGTGGTCTTGGAGCAGGTGACAGGGGTTCGCTGCGAGCTGCTGAAGCTTCGCTGGCAGCAGGGGAATGGCTGCGTTGTGCTCGTCGCCGGGCCCTGGCAGTTCCACATGGAACACGGGCACAGCTCTGGCAGCTGGGATGTCACAGGAGGTCCAGGGCCACTCAGCAGTGGGGGACTGGGATTCTCGAATGCTCAAATCCTTGAATGCTTTGGCTTGGCAGAGACTCTAAATATCATCTTGTTCCAGCCTGGTCAACCTTCCACCACACCAGGTTGCTCAGGGCCCCGTCCAAGTGGGCCTTCAATGTTCCCAGGGATGGGGCATCCTCAGCCTCTCTGCACAACCTGTGCCAGGGCCTCAACACCCTCCTTGCTAAATAAAACCTCCCTAAAGGAAATCAAACCTAAATCCACCTCCTTCAGTGTGAAGCCATCGCCCCTTCTCCTCTCCCCAGGCCCTGCTGAACACTCTGTTTCCAGCTGTCCTCTGGCTTCCATAGCCAATAGGAACCTGCATTGATTGTCCCTGTCTTTTGCTCTTTGCAACGGACCTGAGGACACCTGGATCATTTTTCCCCCTGAATTCTTGATACTCAAATACATACTTATTTTCTCTTTCTTTAAAACTTTATATTTTTCTTCTTTTTTTTCTAACAAGAAAAGGGCTGGGCTGAGGTTCATGAGTGTCCAGCAACTCCCCCTTGCCCACTCCCTGCTCCCACAGCCCTGCCTTCCCCAGCCCTGCCCCTCCCAGCATCACATCCCCCGGCACTCTCTGCAGCACCCACGGCTCCCACACCCTGCACCCCCTCCAGGACCCTGCACCCATGGGGCCCATGGCACCCCACCACCAGCACCCTCACACCAAAGGCCCCCAGGTTCTTCCCAACACAGCCTGTGCTGCCCACTCCACGTGTCCCCCCGAGTGGGGGACATGGGCCCGTGCCCGCTGCCAGCAGCAGGAATCCGGGCAGGGCAAGGATCCCTCGCTGGCCTTTGGGCTCTTCCACAGCCCAGGGCAATGCCATGGGGATGGGAAACAAAACCCAGAGTACTTGGAGCTTCCAAACCAGTACCCCCAGCCCGGGGGGCTGTGCCAGCACCCCCAGACAACCGAGTTACAGAAGGACAATACAACAGCAACACATTAAACATCTATACAAAATGTATTTACATTATAAGAATCATTAGGAAAACAAGAATCTTCTTATAAAAATAACAGTCTTCTTGATAAAAACAACTATCTTCTTAAGAAAAAAACTGTCTTCTTAATAAAAAACTACCATCTTAAAAACCCCCTTTCTTCTAAAAAAACCTTCTTGATAAAAAACATCTTCTTAATTGAAAAAATTATCTTCCTAAATAAAATCTATCTTCTTATTATTAAAAAATCCTTTTCTGAAAAAACAACTATCTTCTCTAAAAAACAACTATCTTCTTTCTAAAACCCACTATTTTCTTAAAAAATCAAAAGTATAAAATGTATGTACAGAAAAACAGGAAACAACGTAGAGAACATATGTACACCATGGCCTATTCCATGGCCAGCGTGTCCGTCAGTCCTGCAAGAAAAGCCAGGGCACGGTCAGTGCAGTCGGGCCCTGCTGGCCGTTCCCTGTGCCCCCAGCCTGGCCCACGCTGGGCCCAGCGGGACTCTGGCGCCAGGCCTGAGCCCGGCTGGGGATGGGAGCCGGGCCCCAGGCGCTGGCACGGGGCTTGTGTGGCCCAAAGCAGGCGCAGGGCAGGCCGGGGCTGGGGGTTGTGCCGCCACAATCCAGGGCACGGGGCACCGTGTCCCTGAGCGGGGCCCCCCAGCCCAGCCCCAGCCTGGCGGCAGGTGACCCGCTGTCCCCGGGGCAGGGCATGGCACGGCCAGGACGGGCCTCACCTGCTGATGATGGGGGACTCTCCTCATCCCAGAATCATGTCTTCCACCTCATCTTCTTCATCCACTTCCATATCCTCGATCTTGTCCACCACATCAACTTCCATCTCTTCCAAAGTCTCTTCAACATCCACATCCATACTCTCCTCCATATCTAGCACCACATCTACATCCATGGCTTCCTCACTGTCTCTCCGACCCTGCAGCAAGAGAGAACAACCTCAGAGAGGGGTCTCTGTCCCAAACCATCCCCACAGGGGATGCCGTCCCAGGTAGTCATGGGGTGCCCGCCTCCATGGAATGGCACTGTACCTTCACTGGGACAAAACTGCACATCCCGCAGGATCAATGCTGAGATCCAGTCAGCAGGGAGAGTTCTGGACTGACGGACTATCAGGGAGCTGGTAAGGATAGGGAGCTGGGAGCAGGAGGAAAGGTGGTCTTGGAGCAGGGTGAAGGGTGGTCTTGGAGCAGGTGACAGGGGTTCGCTGCGAGCTGCTGAAGCTTCGCTGGTAGCAGGGGAATGGCTGCGTTGTGCTCGTCGCCGGGCCCTGGCAGTTCCACATGGAACACAGGCACAGCTCTGGCAGCTGCGATGTCACAGGAGGTCCAGGACCCCCCACTCCGCAGTGGGGGATGGAGACTGTAGAACGATGGAATCCTGGACTGGTTTGACTTGGAACAGACCCTAAAAATCATCTTCTTCAAGCTTGAACAACCTTCCACCGCACCAGGTTGCTCAGGGCCCTGTCCAAGCACGCCTTGAACATTCCCATGGATGGGGCATCCACAGCCTCTCTGAACAGCTCCTGCCAGGGCTTCAACACCCGCAGTGCAAAAGAACATCTTCCTAAAGCAAATCAAAGCTGAGTCCTCCTCCTTCAGCATAAAGCCATCCCCCCTTGTCCTCTCCCCACAGGCCCTGCTGAACACTCTGGCCCAGCTCTCCTCTGGGCCCCTTCAGCTCCTGCCCGGCCGCACTGAGGCCTCCCCGGGGCCTTCTCTTCTCCCGCCTCAGCAACCCCAACTCTCTCAGCCTTTCCACACAGCACAGGGGCTCCAGCCCTCGCAGCACCTTTGGGGCCTCCTCCCCACTGGTTCCAGCAGGCTGTCCTGTGCTCAGCACCCCAGAGTTGGAGGTCGGGAGGAGCCCTGTGGGGGCTGCAGCTTCCTGGGGAACAGGGGGAATATTGGGTTATCCCTGGACAGCAACTAAACACACTCCTGTGCTGAGGGATAAAACCCCCGGAGCGAAGCCTGTGCTGGGCAGAGTTCTGCTGCCATGGGTGGTTCTTTGTGGAGTCTGCAGGGATGTGTCGGGAGCAGATCCCGTCTGTCCCCTGGGCCCAGCTCCCAGCCCGGAGCGGCTCCATGGGGCGCCTGGGCCGGGCCGTGGGTCCATCCCCCAGCTCAGCTCCGAGCTCCCTGTGCTCCCACAAGCCCGGGCTCCAAAGCAAACCCTGGCAATGGGGACACAGGGGCTATTTGGGGATCCTCTGGGCAGTGCAGGTTACAAACAACAGTTTCTCAGGAGGTTCATTGAAAAACAATTTTTACTTGCACACTTTAGAACATCCAGATAGATTAAGGCAGTTGGCAACGCTTGGACTTGATTTTTGGGTTCCAATGTATTTTGGGGAGAAGAAGGTAGGAGAAGAAAAAGACAGAGAGGAAAAGGAGAGAAAGGTAGATAGTCACCGGCCTTGGATCCAGCAGGTTTATCTCCAGTGCATGGGAGCACACCACCAAGCGCATACCTTTCATCTTTTATCAGTCCCCAGTGCCCTGGGGCCCTGCCCAGATGGGCATGTGCTAACTGTGGCTCCCAAGTCTCCTGCCAGAGCTTTACACAGTGCCAGAAGATTCCTGGTGCCATTTGGGGGCTTAGGGTGTCCCATGTGCCCAAACACCCCATTCCAGTTTATTTTGTCTGAATTAATCTTTGGGGGGTTTTTATCTGCAAAAAAACTTTAGGGATTTGCTTCCAGGGAAGGCATGTCCCAATACCTGCTCTGCTCAGAGACAGTGGTTGTGTCAAGTATTAAAGCCCTATTCTAAACAAGGAGCAGGTACAGGATTTGGATCCAGAAATTCTCCAGCCTTGGTTGTGCATGACATCCCCCTGCTTCAGCTTCCTCAGCTACAAACCTCAGGCAGGACAAAAGAAAACAAGGGAGGGGGGAGCAGGATCCAACAACATACACTGCTGTTGGAGCAGGATAAGAATTAAAACCTTGGAATTTCCAATTGATTAGTTCTCTCCTGCTGCTGTGGACACCTGGCACAAGGTGCTTCTCATGGAACAACCTGGGTTTGAAGGGACCCACAAGGATCAGCAACTCCAACCCCTGGGACACCCCAAGAGTCCCATCACATGCCTGAGAGTGTTATAACACAAACTGGCCCTCTTCTACAGAAAGAAGCCGCAACTTCCAAATCATTTGGGTGATTTTTGTCCTGATCATGGGAATCTTCTCCTGCAGTCTGGGCTTATGGACAATTATCCTTCTCCACATACATTATTTAGTTTATAACAAGTGAAATTGCTGTTACACAGTGGCTGAGCTGCTCTGAACTCCTCTCCTTCCATTTTCCAATTAAATAGAGCACCAGCAACACACTCATCTTGGAGTAAAGCCTAAAGTTGCTCCTTCTAGGACATAAGCTTATGAAACCCTTATCACTTACAGTATTTAAACAAACAAACTCTTGTTTTTATCTTCTATTTTCCCTACAGCTTCTCCTTTATACCTTCTATTTTTCCCACTTCCCAGTATTTTAGTTGATGCCTTGAACCAACACATTGAATTTCTGTAAAGTGTTTCTTTTCAGGGAGGAAAAAAAATAACCATTGATCTCATGTGTTATTAAAGAAAAGACATAACGCTGGGTATGAAGGGAAATGGTCAAATTTGCTAAAAAAAGACAATTGTGAAACACAAGCATGACTTTTGCTTAACAATAAAACCCCTCTCCACTTTGGAACATTCTGTTTCTAAGGTGTAATTAATAAAGGGAGTTTATCAATGTAAGGAACGAATGGCAATGTAAGGGCATGAAGCTGAATCGGGGGGGTTTAAGCTGGATCTCAGCAAAAGGTTCTTCCCCCAGAGGGTTCTGGGGCACTGAACAGGCTCCCCAGGGCAGTGGGCACAGCCCTGAGGCTGCCAGAGCTCCAGAAGCATTTGGACAATGCTCTGAGGGACAGGGTGGGATTGTTGGGGTGTCTGTGCAGAGCCAGATTTGGACTCAATGATCCTTGTGGGTCCCTTCCAACTCAGCGTATTCTATTCTATTCTATTCTATTCTATTCTATTCTATTCTATTCTATTCTATCCTATGCGTTAATGACAAAGTTGGGAGTCACTCAGTACTTTGGGAGAGTTTTGTTCCCTCAGGTCCCAGTGTCTCAGGAAGCTCTGGGGAAGCTCCCGTTTGCCTGTGGGCACAGCCAGGGGTGCAGGAGGCTGCAGAGTCTGCACCGTCCCAGCCATCCCACCCTAGGGGCTCGGGACAGTGGGAACTGCCAGAGTCTGAACCCCTGTCCTACTGCTGCCCATGGGGGCTTTGGAGCTGGGACAAAAAGGTGGGTGGTGATGCAAACCAGGGAAAGCAGGACTGAGTTAGGTGAGCCTGGCCCAGGGGAACAGACATGCCACTGCTTTGGGCACCTTTTCATTTACAGAACTCCTTGGAATGGTCTCAGGTGTCATGGTGCACGTGCAACATTCTAAGTATTAAACACAAATCCTGTTGCTTCCATGTGTGCTGCCTGGACAGTTCTCTTAGTGGCACTTTGCCTGGACAGGTCTCCTAGTGGGGCCTGTGTCTTTCTGTGTGGACTGTTCACTGTAGGACAGTCACTGAACATCAGCTGCTGCTCAGATAACAAGTACTGAGCTTCATTTCCAGGGAGGACTAGGAGCTGGGGTGTCAGGGTGAACTCTGTGCTCAGAATTAATTTAAACTTTGCAAAAATATAACAGTGAGAATTTCTGTGAGGAAATCCTCACTTTTAAGCATTTCAGAGATAAAAGGAGAGGTGTACGACAGCCTGGCTGAAAAGCTCACCACAGTTTATGACTGGGGTTTGTGAAAAACCTATTGGAGATGTCAGAACAGGAGTGAACGTGTGTGTGACCCCCAGGCAAGGCCGGAGCAGGGCTCTGCCTCCTGCATGTTTGGCAGGCATTGGCTGTGCCAGGGGGCCGGGACTGCAGCCCTGCCCATGCCAGCCCTGCCCTGCAGCAGCCAAAGCCACTACAAGCTGGACGGGGGAACTGGGAGTCCAAGGTCCAGCTCACAGAGCGGCTCACGAGTCGGGCCAGCTCTGCCTGGCACCTCACCAGCACCTTCCCTGCCTCGGTGCCGGCTGGCTGAGCTGTACAGCGAGGGCTCCCCGTGCCCCAGGGTAACACCTGAAAGTGGTGTTGCCCCAGGAAAGTGGGACAAGAAGCGCTGCCTGCTCAGTGCCCACAGTGGCTCCGTGGCTGGTCCTGGCGCCGTCCTGAGCCCCACTGTGGTCTCGTGTGGCTCCAGCCACAGAATCCCAGAATCCCAGAACGGGTCAGGCTGGAAGGGACCACAGCAGGGCATCTGGTCCCTGCTCCTGCTCCAGTTATCTCAGAGCACATAACACCGGACTGTGTCCAGAGAGTTCTGGAATATCTCCAGTGAGGGAGACTCCACACTCTCTCTGGTCTCTGCTCAGCGCTCAGCCACTGCACAGGAAAGAAATTCTTCCCCATATTCAGGTGGAACTTCTCAGGCATCAGTTTCTGCCCCTGACCTCTTGTCCTGATTCTGGGCCCCCTGAGCAGAGCCTGGGCCATCCTCTGACCCCTCCCTGCAGATATTTATATATTTATATATTTATATATTTAGATATTTAGATATTTATTTATACACAGGGTCCTGGCTTGGCCTGGCTCTGGTGGGTGGCAGCGAGTGCCAGAGCCTGCCCAGCCGTGGGGCTGGGGCGGCGGCCCTACTTGGGGTGCATGTTCTGGGGACAGGGCGGTTTGTGGGGCCGGGGCAGGTTCAGGGCACGGCCCACGCCGGGCCAGGCGGGCCCGCGGCCCGGAGGAAACGCGGCCCGGCCCCGCCTCACGCAGGCGGCACCGCCTCTACTTAAAGCGGGCGCGGGGCCGCCTCCTTCTCCTCCTCCTGCCGCCGCCGGGCCCCGCAGCTCCACCATGTCGGACCGGCTGCCCTACAAAGTGGGTGAGTGCGAGCCCCGGGCTGGCCCCGCGCGGCTCCCCCGGGCCGGGCCGGGGAACGCGGCCTCGGCGGCCGCGGCCGGCGGGTCCTGCCCGCGGGGGAGCCGGGCCCGAGCCCCCCCTGCGCTGGGGCAGCGGCCGCGGGGAAAGGGCGGCTCGGGGGGTGCCCGGAGGGGTTTCCCCGCCGTGGTGCCGCTCTCCTGCCCCGCAGCCCCGGCCCTGCCCCGCCGCTGGAGCCCTTGGCGGGAACGGGCTTTGCTGCGAA